GAGAGAGAGAGAGAACTCAAGCGCTTTTCAACATTTCCACCATAGGTTGCTACCAGCAATGGTCACTTTTACCCTCGATGCATGTCATACATGAGAGTCCACCTGTTCTCTCTCCATGTGCACTGGCAGACCGTAACTCATATCGCTGGGGAACTCCTGCGAATGTTGCTTTCAGTTTTCAACGATGGTTTATGTATATACATGCTTAATACACCGATATCTTATGCTCCCTTAAACTCTTTTTTGCTACTTTACTATGGAGCTTGTTAAATTATTAAAAGTACTGCGTATTTTTACTACGTAGCTTTTTCTTCGATGAAAAAGAAATCGCGTACGGCGCATACAGTAAGGCGAAAGGATTTTCTATGATACACGGTAGAATAATCGTACGAAAAGGTTTTTGCTGCTTTTCAAATTCAATCTGGCTGCTTTCATTGTGAAGTACACGTTCCAATTGCACAATTTTGACGATAGGACGTACTCGTGTAAAAATAATACTTCATATGAATACGTTGCGAGTATTAAAAATAAACTCATTAAATTGCATTACACTTTGTTTGCATCAAATGTATTTTATTTATTATGAATTCATTTGAAAATCATGAGAATAAGGTCAGACGTACACGTGGTCATAAATTGTCGGACTTTTCATGTGAAAACACAAGCTTTGCTCCTCAAACAGTACGCACAGGATGCTTTTCAATAATTAACTCGTAATAATGAAAGAATAAGCTGTCTCATAATGATATATATTACAGTCAAAATTAAATACCTACTATCTGGATTACGAGTCATCCAAGCTTATTTCATTACCATTCATACGAACTCAGCTAGCAGCCATAATGCCGAGAGTAAAATCGGAATGATTAATATTTTACCGCGTCGTTATAAACGTGTATTATACAGCACACGTAAGTATATACAGGAATAAAAGCGAAAATCACGATTAAGTTCATTTAAATGCATCGCAGCCATCACGCGTGTGTGCTCTTGGATGTTGAATTTGTAGCAAAACGAGCACCAAATTATCACCATCATCATCATCTCCATCTTTGGAATTATAGATACAAGCCGAGTCTTGTTAATATCTATTGACACTCAAGTTATATAATACTCCAGCATTAGCTAAGAAGAGCAGTAGAAGCGCGACCTCCGTATACTCAAAGAGAAAGCGGAGCTATCTGATAAGAGAGAGATTCCCGAAGGAGCTCTGCAGTGAATCAGGTGTATCCGCAAGCTTAAATGATAATGCACGAGAATTCCAAGGCTTTATACCCTCACGAATCATAACAATGGGCGAAGGCCCTGTAAGCGCACACCTTGAGAATATGTGTTATACTGTTGTGTAATGTTCAAACTTGGCGATGCATTAATGCCAATTGTACTTAACGATCTTACAACGGTTCGATATTAATTATCAAAAATTATTTGTACTCGATTTTGGATTTTACAATGAGCACAATAAAAAAACACTCTGTGCATTACTATGGTAAACATTAAATTTCCCATTCGTACTTTGCTTCTGTGAACAGCTCAGATGCGTACATGGGTATGTTGATGGAAAATACATTTAATATATGAAAATGGCACTCGTTAAGCTTAATAGCATTGCTCAGATTTACGAGTTGCGGGTAAACTCATGAAATTGTATTAAAATAATTTTATTTACATGCTTTCAACAGTCATTATTAACAAGGCGGAAATGTTATTAAAAATATCAAAAAGAAGAAAAAGGTGGTACCACTGTTAATGACTTTAAAAATAATTAGTACATATTATATAGATATTCCTTGCATACTATTATGAGGTAACATTGTAGAACAGTTGAGCACATAATAAAAAAATGTTAAAAAAGCCTCATTTATATAGATGTTTTTTTAAATAAGAGCACATAATATACGGAGGAGACGTAGCGATCCCTCTGTCGTAGTCGCAGTACCATCAGAGCCCCACGTAAGAACGCGCGGAGCAGAAATCATCGAAATTGAAATGGCACAGTAGCAACACAACAGCCGCGTGGCGATAGCGATAGTTGCTGTTGGAGGTCTGGAAAGGCACGTTCCGACCGCATTACCGTATATATTCCTATCCAGATATTCACACAAACGCACACCCACACGTAGCACGCAGAGGGCAGAACAACAATTCATTTTGGTTGTGCAATCGCAACCCGCAGCTACTATAGCGTCTCCCTTCCTTCGACAAACGGAGAAGGTTTATAGGGGAAGCTCCCGCGCTGGAAAGTTTCAGCAGTGATTTCCAAATGTTGCAGGAGGGTGTTATGTGGGCATTTTTATGCCCTCGCACACATACACGCTCGCGTGCGCGGGCTGATAAATCATCGCGACCCCTGTTATAGATCATGGGAGCGTTGAAAAATAAATTCGGCTCGACGATTACGTGCTGTGCGAGATTCTTCCCGTGCGTTAAGCTGGGCTTGCACTAATTAATGCGCCGAGGGACGCCCTCACTCTGTGCGAGTGTACGATTTTATTGCTCGAGTATATTTTTCGTTTATGAAGCAGAAACATGGCGTTATTATTGCTTGATCTCTGAGTCGCGGGGCAAGGGTGATTTTTGCCGATTGGTCGTTATTTTCATTGTTTTGTTTGCGAATTTTGCGAAAATCAGTGCTAAAGAGGATTTACTGTTAGCAAAAATGAATGATAATGCTATAAGCAAGTGAACATTTTTTATGTCTACTTTGTGTTGCAAGAGATTTTTTTACGTGATAGTCTCTCAGTTTTTATGAGTGCTGATTTCGTTGGTGGACACAATTTTCAATTCAAAAAAGGTAGCAATTAGCAGTTTGACTCATTTTTCCGTGAATATTCGCTGATTGAGACAAATAATATGTTCTCACTTAAATGTACGTAAATCGCACTTGATTAATAGATGAACATTTACTCAAAATGATATCTGTATTCTGATATTTTTCAATAAATTGCTATTTTTATGTTCGAAGAATCGTGCGGTGCAAAAACAAAGCATTTGATGCGCTGGTCTTTTAGTATAAGGGAAAAAAATCTCTACTCATAAAGATTCAAACAATAGAAGCAGTCTGAAAAGCCAATTTCCATGTCTACTCCATCCTTGAATTTCAATTACTAAGCCATGGAAATTGGGACGAATACACACGCACATACTCACGTATGAGAAGATGGATGGGAAAACCCACCATTATCCGAAGAGGATTCATATTCAAACATTTACTAGGTACATACAGACCCAAGAGAAAAAGATTCGCAATTTTTCACGAGACGCCTGGCTGATCTGCGAAAAGATTAAAGCTCGAAAGGTCAGAATCTTTGGGGGACTACTCACGGGTCAAGGCCCGTCGGAGGTTAAGGATTTGGCAAGACAAGTTTTCTCTTAGTGATGAAGAGTGATTTACTAATGAATTACTAATTCAATTAACTAGAGCTCATGGTGAGCGCAAAGATGAAATGCAATAGTATTTCGGAACAGTTGAAAATTCAGAAAACTTTTTTACTAGAAGGTGTTTGTTCGCGTCGAAATATCAACTTTCATCAAAGTTTTTAATAAAAAAATTAAAATACTCTTCTTGTAAGTTCACATATGGCATTTTAAATAGTACATCTTATTAAAATTTCCATCAATAAGAACTTGATTTTTTTTTTCTACGAAATTTCAATAGAGTCATTGCATAAAAGTTTGTCCAAAAACTGCCGGTCAATCAGTGAAAAGCATCATTTGACTACTTTCTACTCGTACTGAAAAGAAAATTTACTTTAATTTATTTAAATATTTATTAATAAATTTACGAAGTGTCTAGAAGGCAGCAAAAGTATCAACTAATTATATGATTGAAGTTAACAACAGCTCAACCATTCGTTCTCTACGGAGACTTTGATGATAGCTAGTAAAATTTGCTGTGCATAAGTACACACAAAAGCATTATTGATTGCACTGTGCAAAAAAAAAAAAAAAAAAAAAGTCCCGGCGTAATAAGCCGCGACAACGATGTCATGCTCACACTCGGTGCAGCTAGACGGCAAAGAAGACCGCCAGAATAAAGAGCACAAGCTCTGCAGGGAAAGGTGCTTTCAGACAGAAAGAGAATTGTCGCCGAAAGCTCAGTCAAACGATGAAAGAGCGAAGTAGAGGAACAATGACACTGGATTCCAGTCTAACGGCTCTGGATAGTGAAGCTACACCAGTCAGGAAAAAATATTTGCCGTAGTTGCGTTGCTGTTAAAAAGAATATGCCAGACCTGATCAAAACTACTTGAATCGATAATGCCACGCGGAAATTTATTGAAAGCTTTCTTTCTTGTTTTCATTCAGAATTTATGGGATATTTTTAGTGATTGTCACTTCTCACAAGCTTTTTTTCTTTGACTAATTCCTTTCTTTTCCCACTGCAACCGTACAAGTGTACACTTTACCATCGTATTTTTCAGCCATATCAGTTACATTTTAAGTATTGGAAAAAACTCTAACTGTTATAAATATATTTTTAAAACCAGCAAATACTAAGGGTATACAATATTCAATCAATCGACACTGTGAGTAGTTTAAGGCATGTGGTGACGATTTCTAATTTTAATATAAACTATTTTATAGTAGTGTTGTAAAAGCCTATGAGTTCACTAACAACTGCAGTAGCTCTATTAAATACAATAATTTTTCTTTTTAAATTGATACAAGTACGAGAAAGCTTAAAAATGCTCAGTGAAAATGTCACATACAGTTTCAAGACATTTTATTACAAGATAAATCAATTTTTCCGTTTAAAACAATTTTCTTTGGTATAATGTAGAGGTCTATTTACACTGTTAATGATAGATCTACTTGACTCTTCTTAAAGCGCTTATTTTTACTGTTACGAAACATGTAAATATTTTCAGGGTAGATACAATAATAAATTTATGAATTAATTATTATTAGAAGTTTGGGCAAAACGAAAGATTTTATTCCAACTACTGATGCAAGCCCTAGAAATCAACACATGTGTATGGAACTACGTATGCACTCACCTTATAACCACCGAGATCTTGCACGGTACAGCTGAGCATGACCTCTCTGCCGACGGGAGCCGTCACGTTTGTTATTGGCGCCTTGAAGTTTGGATCTGTAAGAAGCAAAGGAGAGAGAAAATTAAATACGTGATTGACGTGCGTGTGCCATGTGTGTGAGCTGGCGCAATTAGACTTAAACGTAAGAAACGTAGGAGTAGCTTAAATACTGAAAATTGCTATTAAATACTAGTGAATATTTTTTAGTCAGCAATGTTTCGTCGGCGCACAATAGCAGTTTTTATATTAATGAAACTAACAACAGTAAGGCTAGCTTAAAAAAATTTAACTGTTTCAAACCTAATGCTGCTAAAGTATAGGTATATTGTATTCAAAGCCAAAGAGTTACAGTAGAGTTTGATACATTAGTTATGTTTTTTGTTAAATTGTTCATACTTCAGTGAATTTTAAGAAAAAAACGCTTCCCTTCTAAAAATACTTATATTTATTAAAATATATATTCGTATTTTTTTTTTATACAATTGCTGAAATCGGACAGCGTTAGTCTTTCCTAATAATGCATTAATGATTTAAAAAAGCCAATAATGATTAAATTAATAAGTTGTGCTCAATGAAAGCAGCAAAGCTAAAGACAGACAGGCGTTTAGCAGTGACGAATTTCTCAGCAACACTAGCTGCAGCTCTCCACGTAAAGTTGTTATAGCGCAGTGCACGACTTCGTAAGAATGAGGCCAAATAGGAATAGTGGCAATATGAATTTCTAGGCAAGTCCTAGAGTAGGAGCCAGTAGTAGTTCAGTGGGGCTAGGGTGAGAGGGTTACAAATGCTTTCATAATGGGGGCACAGGGAGGGGGACTTAATTTTATCGTACATCTACATCTATCGACGCGCATCTGAGAAGCTCACGAATAGAAGGGAAAATTCGTATTAGCTCGCAGCATGCACATGTTGATGGATCGACGAGAAAGGGGTAGCGGCAGCAGCAGAAGGAAGGGAACAGCAAAAGAGAGAGAGAGAGAGAGAGAGAGAGAGAGAGAGAGAGAGAGATAGTTGGTAAAGAATCAAGAGGAAAGAGACGCGTGTCCCTATACTTCACTTCAAATGTGATTGCCTAAATGCCCCGCTTACTTTCGCCTCGAGAGTCCTCTGTCAAAACAGTCTCTGCTGGAGCTCGACGGATATATATTTACGAGCTGGGACGTGTATGCTTGTAAGCTGTGTGTACACACACGTGTGGAGAGAGTTGCCCCCTTATTCGATCGGCTCTTGTCAGCCTTAACGTGATTTCCGAACCCCTCGACGGCAATATTAGAAGGCCTATAAACGAGGTGCTTTGTACTTTTAACGCGTACCGTGCATTTGTCACTCCCAGTTGTGCGATCTCTGTCTTCTCTGAGCACGAGGCTCTATTTTACTTTTACTTTATTTATTTATTTATTTTTTTTTTTTTTTTTTTTTTTATCCCTGACAGTGGGTGCAAGGTGAAGTTCTGTGATTGATCATTTTTTATCATTGCAAGCTACACATTCAATTCCATGAAAGCAACACTGTATATTGTATCATTTTTGCATTTGTTTCTGATGGAATCATCGATGAAAATGTTACCTTTGTTTGTAACATGTTGTATAGGAAAAGGAACATGAAATAAAAGTTCGGTGAAAGTTCAAAACACTCGGATGGAACAGTTTTGGAAAGAAAATTTTGCGCATAGTTTGTACAAAAGTTTTATAAAGTAGAATTTTACGTTGAGTTTATGACGTCTTCAACTCCGAAACAGAGAAATTATAGCAACCTTTAAGTATTATTGGATGAAAAGTATTGCAAAATTATAGTTATATATAAATAGTTAAGTTGATTATTCAGAAAATAGAGCATAATGTCCAAACTTTCATTAAAATCACACTACGTTCTAGCAACTTAACAAAGTACTTTTTTACATCTATAAAACATGAACAAATGAGAATATTGTTTCATTAATTTTATTCCTATTTTTTCTAAAGGCAGGTGCGAACAACCAAAATTACGTAGCAATGCTTTTTATTATTTAATCTGCGAACAAACTAAAATAAAAAATAAATTTTTGAGAGATTTGACAATTAAATAGAAGTGTGAGAATTCTATGAGTAACAAATACAAATCGTTGACGATAACGTGCACTAGAAACTTTCTTTATAGTTGCATCATAAGCGTATCTCTAAGAAAATTAATCAACAGTACAATACATTTTCTTTTACTACAAGACACAAGAATATTATTTGAAAAGTAATTATTTCCAACTTCATTCTTATTTACATAAGTAGCTGAATTTTTTAAGTAACGTTGTCGGATAGTTGAGCAAATCTTATTACGTTTAGCAGGCAAGAATAATTTAAGCAGCTGCTACTTAATTTAGATTTCTCACTCTCGTAAAGCACAGTCTTGTTCGGTCTTGTTCGTATTATTGAAGACAAGACGTGGTTTTTATTTCAATATTTTTTACATATTATCTTAATTCGTAGGGTCGTTGATTGAAAGAGGTCAAGTAAATTGTTTAACTGTATGTTAGAATTTTTTAAAAATCTATTGCATTAACTACCAAATAAACCAATACGAAATGAATTCACAAAATAATTATAATAATCAAATAGCTATTAAATTGAAAAATGTTTTTAAAAAAGATTTGCATTATTAGTGCAACATGAAGGTTGCATGGGGTAAGGTTTAGTATGCTTGAAAATACCTATAGAAAATTAAAAAAAATAAAATAAAATAAAGTTTGAATGATAACAGTAAAACTTTATGACTCTGATTTTCTACATACCCTTTTTTAAATTGTATTTGTTTTTAAATAACTACAATATATTCTGACATTAAAAAATTTCTCTGCAAAAACTTCTCATCAACATTTCGTACTTATATTCAATAGTTTTAATGCTAATAAATGAGAAAAATATAGATAAATTTCCGATGCACTAATTGAAAACTTATGAATGAAAAATAATTAATAAAGAAATAACAGAATTTATTACTCTCATCTCACTTACCGTACGAATCTCAAAGCGCACAACTCTCGACTGGCAAACAGGGTATAAAAGGGTATAAAGATACGAAGCTAAACTCGGGCCACTCAATTTTCGGCAACGTAACGCAGACTACTCTCTTCCTCTCCGTTCTTTCCTCGTGCATGAAATACGCAATGAGGATATCTCGGCGACTTTCCGCTCCCTGCGGTCTCTTTAAGCGTCCCCGGCTCACTTCTGAGAGCGCGGCAGCACCAGAGCCTCGTATTTGGAATCCGGACGTCTTTATGGTTGCGGAGGCGAATATTCGCCGCAGGTCTCCGCGTTGCCAGCGAAAAAGGGGATGAGATGTGGGAGGCGAAAAAGAAAGAGGCGGCGCGAGGAAAAGCAAACCAGAAGAAACTCTTTCTTCGGGGGGCGCGGGAACTTTCTTTCTCACCAGGCTTGTCCTATAAGTTAATTTCCCAAAGAATTTCGGGAATCAAGCCAAGTTACCTGCACCTACGCGAAGAGATTTCCTCTTTCTCTTTTTCTTTGCAAAAATGAAAAAAAAAAAAAAAAAAAAAAAAAAAAAAAGGGGGAAGACGAGAGAATAGACGCTGATGGTACGTGGAGGGAGGAACAGGAGGTAGAGGCAAAAGTTACAACAGCACGGCTCCTTCTGCTCTCTCGGATACATCGTTTCTCTCCAATTTTCTCGGACTCGATAAAACGTAAAAATTACCGAATGTAATGGCACTCGCTCGATAAACATTAATCGCGAGATCGAGCGTGACTGCGCCGTGGTCACCGGGATAGTTCCGGTTCACCGTGCGATTTATTCTGCTGCGAATTTACTCCCGGCGTAATGGCGTGGGTGAAATCTTGCGGAACGTAATATTGCACCAGGGCGCCTGTGCACCGGATTTTTTGGCCTCCAAATCCGTCCCCCGCTTCTTCGCGTGAAATTTGTATTTCCCTTGTTTTTCCTCGCGCACGGCTCTCAGATGCAGTAGATTTTACTTTGGTCCCCGCGCTATGCGTCACATTTGAGTATGAGCGGATATGCCTTTGTGAGAGCACACTGGGGCGCATTTGTTTCATCAAACAGCTGCCTGCTTTCGCATTGCTGGTGGTCGTATAGTTATGAAATGCGGCAGCCTCAGCAAACTGTCGCTCAATGTCAAAGGGAATTCCCATGTTTGCACTGAGTTATGCTCTTTTGTTTCTGCTTATTTTTACCTCTACCCCCTTTTTTCCTTTTCTTTGTTTTCCGATGCCAAGTTTCGGTGAGCTGCGAAAAATAGCGGTTTCAGCATAAACTGTCGAGAAAATTAGCACTTAGATCTGTTGGAGTTTTTGCACTGGATGTACAAGCGTTAAAAGTGATAAGCTTTTTTTGGAGAACAATAGCTTCTCATTTGAATTTCCGAGAGCGATATGTCTGCCACATTTTGCACTACAATGAGAATTTCAGAAAAAGCTTTGGTGAACAAAAAGATTTTGTTACTTATCTCGTTATATAAGAATATATCAAATCCTAATAAAAAAAAGTCCGTTTATACAATCTCTCCAGCAGAAAACTAATTTATTAAATTTGGTTATAAAATTTTTTTGTAACAACGAGAGTAACTTGCTGTACCAAAAGCTTGCGTACATGTTGACTCTTTTTTATCTTGTGCAATATAAGGAATTAATTGATTAGAGCAACTAAATGTGAAAGGATCTTTAAGTATGTTTCAAAGAAAAATCAATTAAAACTCTGTTTTATTCAATTTCACCTCTGAATATATGCTTCAATGCTCAAAAATTGTATAATACAGCTTTTATGTTGTAACAGAGTAAGGTATACCGCGTAAAAATTTTTTAATTTGGTCAAACTTCCGAAAAAGTTCATGTTTGGCGAAACTTTGGCCAAGCTTGGGCAATGAGAAAATCCCAAGCTTGAGTAAATTTTTACGCGGGTTTTTAACCAAACAAACAAAAAAAATTTCAGGTTCAAAAGGACATTTTCAATGTTACCTGGTCTATTAATTAATTTTTTAGTTCTCTAGCAGCGTTTATGTATGGCTCTTACTCATATTTACATATACTCTCAACTTGAAAAAATTTGGATT